TAGCGCTGCTCGAGAGTTTAGGGTTTTGTGATCATTTAGATTGTAGGGTTTATGGCTAGCGGGGCTAATTGAAACCCTAAACCCTAAACCCTTACTGGAGGGTTTAGGGTTTAGGGATTTTGAGCCTAAGTGGGGAGATTTATGTCCAGTTGTCCATCGGTAAAATAAATAAATAAAAATGTTGTTGTCTAGGGTTTAGGGTTTAGGGTTTAGGCTGGTGATGCCTATGGGGCACAGAATCCCCTAAACCCTAAACCCTAAACCCTAACACCTTCCACCGCCTAAAGACACTAAACAAGACAACGACATATTCGCCGCTGCAACGGAGGCTGTTGCTGCAGCAGCAGCAGCTGCAGCTACAGCTGCTGCAGCTGCTGCAGCTGCCGCGTCTATGCTTGGAGTTGCTGCTGCTGCAGCTGTTGCTGCAGCTGCTGCAGTACGGGTTGTGTTAAACCTGTAGCTAAGTTACTATATGCACCTGCAAACCCTAAACCCTAAACCCTAAACCCTCGAATATAATAAGCGAAGGGCCTCAGCAGCAAAATGTTTAGGGGTTAATTTTGCTTCCTCTAGTTGCTGCTGTCTTGTTGCTGCCTCTATAAATACATCAGGGAGACACAGAGAACGCAGCTGCAGCACAACACATACACCCCAAAACCCTAAACCCTAAACCCTAAACCCTAAACCCTCAAACATCACAATCGGCCCTCATATGTACATATACACAGTAATATATACACCTATATATTATATATATAATAATATAATATAAACACTTATAATATATAACCCCTATATATATAAACCCTAAACCCTAAACCCTAGAATATTATTGCACAAGAGGGTTATTCATATATAGGAGTGTGGGTATTGTTGTATTATGATGCAATTAGGGTTTAGGGTTTAGGGTTTAGGGTTTATTACACTGCATTTTCTTGCATAATTAGTATCGGAGTTAAGCAGATGCTGCACTGCTCTGCTGCCAAACCCTCCTGCTGCTCCTTCCTCTAGCAGCAGCAGCACATCATGAGCAGCAGCAAGCTGCAGCAGCAAATCGCCATCTAGGGGTCTAAGGAACCGTGCATCTGCTACTGTAACTCCTATTAATGGATCCGCTGCTGCTGCTGCTGCTGCTGCTGCTGCTGCTGCAGGAGCAGCAGCAGCAGCAGGAGGTGCGGGTCCTGCTGCTGGGGAAGGTGGTGCTGCAGAGGGGAGTATGCGACCACCGGAGGATCCGCGTGCTGCTGTTGCTGATGCAGTAGCAGCAGCAGCAGCAGCTGCTGCTGCAGCATTTGCTTCTGCTGCTGCTGCTGCTTCTGCTGCTGCTACTGCTGCTGCTGCATGCTCTGGCTTAGGTATTGAATTTATTTGCTGCAGAATTGCTGCTGCATTAACAGCATCTAATAAAAGAGTGCCAATAGACAGCAGCGCCACCTGCATGCACACCCAAACCCTAAACCCTAAACCCTAAACCCTAAACCCTTGGTAGACGAGAAAGAGCGGTGTTTTAGTCAACGCTTTAGGGTTTATAAATTAGGGTTTATCTATCTTCCTATGGAGGTAGCAAATGCACAGCAAACCACAAATAAGGGTTTAGGGTTTAGGGTTACCTTGTATTTAGCATTAGGGTTTGCATGCAATAATATGCGGCCCTTCCCTATGGGTAAGGGTTCAGGATCAGAGGGGAGCTCCTTTATATTATGCCTGCAAGCAAACACTAAACCCTAAACCCTAAACCCTAAACCCTAAACCCTAAATCGACATTGTGTTCAAACCCTAGATAACGTCGAAACCCCAAAAGTGGACGCCTGGGACCTAGGGTTTAGGGTTTAGGGTTTAGGGTTTACCCTAGCTTGCTGTTGAGGGTTTCAAGACCAAAGCAAGGACTACGAGGGAAACGAAGAGCAGAGGGGCCGGAGTCCATCAGGTACACCGTCTGCAGACCCAAACCCTAAACCCTAAACCCTAAACCCTAAACCCTAAACCCTAAACCCTAGAAAACAGCATCCATGGAATATCAACTGCCAGAACCCTATAAATCATGTGAACACTACTACGACTAAGAAACCCCCATCCTGCTCTATCCCCCCCAAAACCCTAAACCCTAAACCCTAAACCCTAAACCCTAAACCGTACCTTGAGCATACGAAGAAGTTCATATTCATCACTAGGTGCCATGACAGTAAAATTAGGAAGATTACCCAAGAAAGATAAATCAAATGATCCTTGATGAGTACTCCCATCTGCCCCTACTAGACCTGCACGGTCTATTATAAACCTATATCACAAAACCCTAAACCCTAAACCCTAAACCCTAAACCCTAAACCCTAAACCCTAAACCCTAGATAAAGAAATTTTTCATTTCGTCAAATATTTTCGGCAATTAGTAGTGGTTGATTATTTAACTTTTCCCGACTTTTTAAATTTTTGAATTTTTTTTTAGGGTTTAGGGTTTAGGGTTTAGGGTTTAGGGTTTACATACCTGACAGGTAGATTTTGTATAGCAACATCATGAACAATTTGATCATATGCTCTTTGTAAGAATGAGCTGTATATACAGCAGAAGGGTCTAGCTGCTGCAGCAGCAGCACCAGCAGCAAAAGTAACTGCATGCTGCTCTGCTATAGCAACATCATAAACTAAATTAGGGTTTACGTCCCCTAGGGTTTTGAGTCCTGTACCTCCAGGCATTGCTGCAGTTATATAAACACTAATTTTTTCTTCTCCTTTTTTCTTCTTTTTCTTCTCTTCTTCTTCTTTATTTGTTAAACATAATAAACCATAAGATAATACAGATGTTAATAAACTAACTCCCCCTTTTATTGATGCTTTTGCTGCTGCTGCTGCTGCTGCTGCTGTTGGTCGTGGTTTTGCTGTTGCTGTTGTCGTTGTTGCTGCTGCTGCTGCTGCTGGTCCTGTTGCTGCTGCTGCTGTTGCTGCTGTTGCTGCTGCTGCTGGTGATGTAGCGGTTGCCGGGGCAGAAGAGGAAGAAGAAGTCTTTGGAGCTGCAGCAGCACCGTGTGGGGTCCCACTGCTGCTTCTGCTGCTGCTGCTGCTGCTGCTGCTGCTGCTGTTGCTGCTGCTGCTGCCTTTGCTGCTGCTGTTGCTGCTGTGTGCATGCAAGGAGAGATAAGGTGCTGCCTCTACTCCATGCATGCGGTCTGGGGCTGCAAGAGCGGGCGGATAGCCAAACCCTTTCTCGGTCTTCAAATGTAATACCGTTGGCCGCTTCAAACCCTCACTCTGAAACACTCAAACCCTAAACCCTAAACCCTAAACCCTAAACCCTAAAATTTTTTATTAGGTCGCCTTAAGGGTTTATAACAGTCCTAGAAGACGGCAAACACTCACAATAATAAGGTACACTAAAGGGCTACATGAGGTAAACAAGAAACCCTAAACCCTAAACCCTAAACCCTAAACCCTAACCTTGATTTTTTGCAAGATGGAGACGAGGTTTAGGACATCGTGGCCATCAACAGGGCCCATATACTCAAACCCTAAACCCCCAAAAAAGGAGGCAACTCCTGGCTCCCCTTGCCCAGGTGCATGCACCGCAGCAACATCTTGCTGCTGCTGCTGCTCTTCCTGCTGCTGCTGCTGCTGCTGAATCAGAGAAATGCGATTCTTCAGACGGCGCATGTGCCGAGACACTGCACTGGCAGGCGCCGTCCCTCCTAAACCACAAACCCTAAACCCTAAACCCTAAACCCTAAACCCTAAACCCTTAATATCTAATAGAACTTGTGCCAGAATCACAACAGCAGTAGTAGTGCAGGAGCGTCCCGTGCAACAACTGCAGACAAACCATTATCCACCCTCATTAGGGTTTAGGGTTTAGGGTTTAGGGTTTATACCTGCAGTATTAGTTCCTGTAGGAAGAGAGACTTGCTGATTATCATTTAATATAATTAAGATTGGTGATCGTAAAAACCCGCATGCATTCAGGGCCTCATATGCCATACCTCCTGTTAGACCTCCATCTCCTATAAATATTTACCGTAAACCCTAAACCCTAAACCCTAAACCCTAAACCCTAAACCCTAGATGATAAAACATAAACCCTAAACAATAGATTGCGAAATAACGAGGGTTTTGTATTTTGTGTTCTGAGGATATGCAAATGTCTCTTTGTATTACTCGTCACGATGCATACTAAACCCTAAACCCTAAACCCTAAACCCTAAACCCTAGACGTACCAATGACAGCAACATAGAGACCCTTATCTCTTTTTTGTAATCGGTGTGCAACATACATCCCCTGAAGAGCACTTATTGAAGTAGAGGAGTGGCCTGTAAACAAAACCCTAAACCCTAAACCCTAAACCCTAAACCCTAAACCCTAAACCCGTGGACGAAGTGGCAACATTTACGCTCTCTACTGTTTTCCTTGTGTATATTAAGGGTGAGATTGTTCCTCCACCATATTTAGTGTTTAGTGGTAAAGTTAAGGTTTAGAAATTAGGGTTTAGGGTTTAGGGTTTAGAAATTAGGGTTTAGGGTTTAGGGTTTAGGGTTTAGGGTTTAGGGTTTACCAGCTCCGAATGAATCATATATGGACTCTTTTCTTGTTAAGAATCCAGATAAACCCTTTTGTTGACGAAGACGATGCATTAAATGACGACGTCCTGTTAGCATCTATATACAAAAGGAGACAAATAAAAAAAAAAAAAGAGACAAATAAAAAAAGGAGACAAAAGGAGACAAATAAAAAAAGGAGACAAAAGGAGACAAATAAAAAAAGGAGACAAATAAAAAAAAGAGACAAAAAAAAGGAAACAAAAAAAGGAGAGAAAAAAAAGGAGAAAAAAAAAAAAGGAGACACTTAGAGGAGACAAAAAGGATATAAAAGAGAGACAGATAAAAAGAGGGGAAAAAAAGGAGATAAATAAATAAATAAAAAGGAGACAATTAAATAAATAAACAAATAAAAAGGAGACAATTAATTAAATAAATAAATAAAAAGGAGAAACAATTATATATATATATATATATATAT